CATAATGGACAATGCTAAAAAAGATGATCAATGTCTCTTTTGAGCTTGGGCCAATAAAATAAAAACTCTCTTCAACCAAGCAGATTGTCTTATCTCAACGAATATGTCCTCCAAATCTTCCTCCATGTGATTCTCGATTTAAGTGCTTACGTAAAGAAGAAAGAGAAATACATAATTGAGTTTTTTAAAACAAGAATCCTTCAGAAGGAATGTAATCAGGCATAAATTCCTTATTACTGCATCGAGTCCAATTCCTTGTTACTGCATCGAGTCCATACATTACCAAAATCCTCACCAGTTACATAAAGCTCTTTTAAACAATCGAACCCAACTACTTCAGTGCTAACTATAGTTAAAAGAGATGCATGTCAACTTAACGCGTCTGTTGCTTTATTATGTTGGGCAGACTTATGTTTTTTAACAAAAGTGATTTTTTTGCAAAAAGGTGACCCATCTAGTGTGCATTCAATTCTTTTTTTTTTTTTTTTTAGAATTAACAAACTTCAAGGCTTGATGATCAGTAAATGGCACAAATTCTGGTTGAATCAAGTAATTTTCGTAATGCTTTAAGGCTAGAATAATGGCATATAATTTTAACTCATAAGTAGTCCACTTTTCAACTGGGTGACCTTCTTGAGATAATACTGCTCAATTCCCATAACTGAAGCATCATATTTGACTTCAAATACTTTCTCTAAGTGAGGTAGTGCCAACACTGATGTAGTACATAACTTATTTTTTATTGTCTCAAGGCTATTTTCCCGTGCTTTCCCCATTGAAATTGGCCTTTTTTCAGACAATCAATAATAGATGCCATGATTGTACTGAATGCTTGATGAAACGCCTGTAAATAGTTGCTAATCCCTGAAAGCTTTGTACTTTTCGCACGATTATAGGAGTTGGCCATTTGCGTATTACTTTTAACTTCGCCTCATCAACATGAATACCATGTTTACCAACCATAAAACCAAGAAATAAAAGTTAGTCGATCATAAAGCTGCATTTTTTGAAATTGAATTACAATTTATTAGTTTTCAAGGATGAGAGAACTTCTATAAGATGTGACAAGCACTCATCTTCATTCTTGTTGTAGATAAGAATATCATCAAAATAGACCACCACAAATTTTCCCACAAATGGATGAAAAACTGATTCATTAATCGTATGAATGTGCTTGATGCGTTTGATGGCCCAAATGACATCACTAACCACTCGTAGAGATTATCTTTAGTTTTAAAAGCTGTTTTCTACTCATCGCTAGATCGAATACGGATATGATGATAGCCACTCCTTAAATCAAGTTTAATAAATATCACTACATCCTCTAACCTATCGAGTATATCATTAAGACGCATGATGGGAAAACAATACTTGATTGTTATTTTATTAATAACATGACTATCTATACACATCCGCCAACTACTATCTTTCTTTGGAGTGAGTAAAGTAGGAACTACACAAGGACTAATACTCTCACAGATCAACTTTTTATCAAGTAACTCATTAACCTATTACTGTAACTCTTCATGTCCAACTGGGCTTATGCGATAATGTGGCAAGTTAGGCAAACTAGCTCCCGGTTCCAAATCAATATGATATTGAATGTTTCACATAAGGGCAACTCGTTTGGTAATTAGTTATGTACTATCTCAGCAAAATCAGCAAGTACCTTCTGAACTTGGTGGGGATTTGCAGAGTTGCTTCTGATTGGCCTTTAATTACTAATGCTAATATAATGCGTGGTTCTTTTACTTGTTCAAAGAATTCTGGGCCCAATATATTGGTAAAAAAGTGATTTCTCTTCCTTGATAGCAGAGTTGTTTTCCACAGTTGAGATTGTGGTACCAAAACAATCTTTTTATCAAACCACCAAAATGTGAAATATTATCTTTCCCTTATAAGTGGTATCAACGTTATAGTGCCATGGACGATCCAATAAGATATGACAAGCATCTATATCCACCACGTCACATACGATTTCATCTTTGTAATATTCCCCAATCGACACAGAAAGATTACAAATCTCTAGAACTTGAACTTTTTAGTCTTTTTTAATCCATGCAATCTTGTATGAAAATGGTGTCTCAAGGTCTTCAAATTTTGCACCTTTACCATTGCTTTGGAAACTACGTTCTCACTATAGTCACTATAGGGAGGTGGTCCCCTCCTTACTGCAACCTTAGGATTTCTTGCATCCAGGTTAGTACCTCCTTCTTCGTTGGAGTCCGTGTTGTTGACTTTTTGTCCACCTTTTTGTGTGTTTGGTTGTTCTGCCATGTAGTCGTGATTTTTCTCAACAGTCAACGTAGTCAGCATCTGGGTGATGTTATAAAGAACTTCATCTATCCCTTCTGGTGTTGTTCAATTTTTTCAAACCTCTGTTCGTTGTCGACAATTTGCCAACCACTCGACCCATCATCAGCCATCAAATTGAGGCTAATTCCTTGCTCTGATCCATGTTGGTGTGGAAGCGATAATAAAATTCTTATATTAAGAATTGAAATGAGAAATATATTGGAATAACTTGTTTTGTATTGATTGAAGAATGATTGATAAAAGTGTACAATATCCCTATATTTATAGGCAAGATTATTCCTCACTTCTAATAGTATTATGAAATTGAAACTAATTTAAACTATAATCCTAATTGAATGAAAGATAAAAAAAGTCGTATCACAATTATACAAGAAAACTAAAAAGATAAATATAATTAAAAAGATAATTTCCTATAAAAGATAAAATATAATTGTAGTATGAAACTATTAATTACAGTTGTGATGTACTACATCAGTTATTTAACTGAATTCATCAAGTTGATTTAGTTTTCTCATAGTTGAAGCTCTTCTATCACGAAGTTAGGCTTATTATTAATGTTGGCTTATCTATTAGTCATATCGGGTCTCTTGCTTAGTTGAAAGCTATAAAACAAGTATGCTATAGTTCAAAAATGTAATTGTCACAATATTGAGAGCTAGCTGCCTTGTCTAATGATAGTTTCTTTTCAAGAAAGCTCAATCTATCTTTGATAGGAAATGACAAATACTCTTCAAAATGGAGGAGCCTGAACCCGCGGGTAGGGCTAGCTTATTTCAAAATCTAGTTCACAATTTTCGAGAATTGTCGATCAAATAAAGTTACCATCAGCAAAATATTGAAAATTGATAATAAAAAAAATCTTCGTGGGACGGTACTCATTCAACAGATCATAATATCTAATATACCAAACAATAATCTCCAAATGTAATACTTCCAATGGGTGTAAAATGAGGCCTATGCTGGTTCTGCTATTAGAAAAACTAATCACTTCGTTGGGTTATTGATACCTAATAAATCTCGCACTATGATGTTAACGTGGGTTAATTATTTCATATGCATAGGCCGATGAATGAAATAAGTCCAACAATCAAGTCCATGAACTCCACTCGTTCCAATTGTATTCCCTTTTGGATGACTTGAATCTTGACCCATTTAAGTCCCTTAAAGGTCTAACTTAAAGCATAATCCTAGAGTATATATAAGGCTATAACCCTAGCCACTTTCTTGGATGATTTGTGAGGCTTTTGTGTGAGAAAAAGAGGAATCCTAGTTGCTCCCTTTGGTGTGTGAAAAATAGTCCCTAAAAGTGTCCAAAACGCTTGCTTACTTTGTGTAATTGGTAGTTCCTTCATAGTATACTTTGTGGTGTCTTTTCCTATCCTTTGTGCCCACAAATCATTACGTTTTCTTGTCCGACGTGGGTAAAATTGAATAACAACCGAGGTAAATTATATTGGTTGTGGTTTGAAGCCAATTAGATTGTTGTTGGTAGAGAAAAGTACACTGAAATGAACTCGAAAAACACTGAATTGAAGATCCTTGGAGAGAGTTTCCGCAACACACTCTATCATTATTATCGAGGTCTCAAATCCAAAGAGCCAATGGACTATACTAAAGGAGTAATGAGTAAACTCAGCCAAGAAAAATGATCTGGAATCTCCAAAAATGGAAAGTTTTCGATGGAACACAGCCCACATATTTCTAGCTATTTATAGCAGACTCCCTTAACAAATTAAACAGCAATTTTGAGTAGACTTGAAGGGGAACTATCATTGTAGCTCAAATTCTTAGTCCCCCACCAAATTTCCATTGCTGTTTAGTCTACTGGACAGCTTTACTAGCTGTGATATTGCTGTTCTTGTAATATGAGGGCTAAAATATATTAGTTCTCTCACTTAACTTTCTTAAATATTTTCTAATTGGTATTGAATTCATTGTTTTGAAAATACTCGTCACTTGCGATTTTATGTCATTGCTTAGATTGACAACATGCTACGTGTGAATTATTATATCAGCCATGTCACAGGTTTGATTACTTTTAAAATGATGGATGATAGAGTGACATTTTGACAAGTCGGAGGTAACTCAGAAAGCTTTTAAAATTTAATGACAATTGAAAAATATTTTAAGAAAATTGAATGAAGAGTTCTAAAATTTGGTACAATCGTTTGAGAATTTCAGTAACTATGGGATATCTAACCCTGCAAACTGAAAAATATTTTAAGAAAATTCAATGAAGATTTCTAAAATTTGGTCACAATCGTTTGAGAATTTCAGTAGCAACGGGATATCTAACCCTGCAAAGCGCTTAATAGTTCCCAAACATAAATTTAAAGAAGAGTGGAGAAAAGCATGAGAAGAATATTCCTTGGGGCATTTTTCAAGAATGATCAGATTAGGTATCTGTTGAATTTTTCACAGAACAATTAGTGTCAATTATTATATGGGCCCTATTTGAGTTTGAGAGCTGTTCTTCCTGGACTATGCTTGCAAGAGATAAACATACTGCAAGTGATAATTAATTAATAGACTGAAATCCAGAGAAATAGAAGTATATCTTGATTCTTCATATCCCTGTGGAGTGTTTTCAATAAAGAACAAGGACCACATTCTGGATTTTACTGTAAACTGGCAGGTGTGCTGGTGTAATGGTCAAAGAAAATGTTTGGTATAGTCTTTTGAAGTTTATAATCTAATCAAACATCATTTTTATCCATGTATTCCGTCGAACCCACAACTTTTATACATATTTTTATCCACACATTTCAGTGGAACTCACAACTTATAATTTACAAAAAAAAAAAAAAGTTTTAATAAAAATATACAAATGATGACTGGGGTGAAACTAGGGTGGAGGTGGTTAAGAGTGTGGGGCCTAAAAACTTTCAAGTGTTTTGTCCAGAGTCATTACTTTGAAAAGTTGATATTTCAAATCACAATTAATCATATGTGATAAAAGGATGGCGGTGGAGGTGGGGTCTGTCTTGATTGTCTCATCTACTAGCCCCTGTGAAAGGAGTTTGGTTTTCTATGGCTCTGCAAAATCCTGACCTCATATGGCTCTGCAAAATCCTGACCTAAAAATTCACTGCATCAGCAACATGAATACTTCACACGAGATATAACTAATCATCCATTCATTTAGTAGGATTCGTAACTTATAAGCACTTAAAAACACTATCAAACAAGAGGACAGGGAGAGGAAGCAAAGCATGTCTGTAAAAGAAGAATCGAATTTCGAGTGACCTAAAGCATGCCATGTAATGCAAAATAGTTCACGTGCAAACTGAAAATTTGACAAGTTTCCAATGGTAAGTAGTTTCACGTATATATGTACTTTCCAGCAGAAAAAAAGATGAGAAGAATACGAAGAAAAAATTATACATGGAGATGGTTAACTGTTCAGTAAAATCTAAAGAAGCTTACTTTGATAGTCATTGGATAAGAAAATAAACTTCAATATTGATCATTTTAATCTCATATTGCAACTTAGGCCCCGTTTGGTACCCATTTTTTTTCAAAATGCATTTTTTTCTCCCTTCTTTTCAACCACACATTTTTCATTAAAATAATATTAAACGTAAATCAAAAACTTTTCCTTATTTTTCAACCATATATTTCACATCAATTTACTATTCCAAAATGCATTTTTACATAAAAATTGCTCCCAAACACCCTCTTACAAATGAATAGTTACTGAGTGATTTTAACAATGTTTTATTATATGTTTCATGTTTTGATATAACAGGCAAAATAAGATGCCCCTATAAGAGTATTTTGAATTCAAAATTTCTTCAAGATATTCAAAAGAATAGAGGAACTGAATATTCACTCCATCTGCAGGGCTCTTTCTCAGCTGGAGAAAAAACCAAGAAAAAGAATATGAAACCTTCTAGTGTCTCTTCATTTCCTGGAAAATATTTGCCACCCTCGGTGATAATCTTGGCAGAAACTTAAATAACTGCAAAACGAGCATTAGACAATGTATTAGGATATGTATTCAAAACCAGAAAACGGATGCCACTCTCAACAAAACAGAAGTAAATTCTGGAGTGAGTTTGAATGAAATGAAAAACAATAAAAATTAGTTGTTCTTCTAGGAGCTAACAACATGAAAATGCTAGCTTATTGCATATTTTTGGTTCCGAATTTTATTTTTTTTTATTTTTATTTTTTTCCCCCACGGAACCAAGTAATAGCTGGAAATCTAAATTTAGGGCTGGGGCATTATGGAATTACTGTTATGGCGTTCTTTAATTTCCTCATATAGACACATCAAACATCTGACTCTCTTGCGCCCCCACATAAGCAGCATTCAAATAAATTATTAAAGAAGATCATAATAGCAACTTGATAATGCCCATTAAGTTGCATATATTCACTTCTAAGCATAACATAGTATCTGATAAAGCTTTGTCAATTTAAGTTGAGTTGATATTCATTTACTACCTTCTGTATGGTTTCTCGGGCGGCATGAAAAAATATTCGTCAGAAGTCAACCGTCAATGAAAACCGGGAGGAACATAATTCTATATCAACCAATTCAAAACTAGACTCCTAATGTTCTTTTAGCCTTGGTTTTTCAGTGAATTTGGATAATATCTTTCCTCAATGGGCAGGGTTTAATAAAAAAATTAGGATTCTTTACGATTACTATCAGCACGCAAGGTTCATAAAGGACCAACAGTAAACAATAAGTCACTCTTAAATTACTCGACACTAAAGAATCCAGATTGTTGGACCTTCAAGTTACCCTTAACAGTACAATTGTTACATGGATGGAAGTCCAAGACCAAAAATTAAGTGGCATATCTAGCACGTAGGTCCTCTAGTCCATATGCAGGAAAAAAGGCATCCGCATTACACGATATAATCGACAAGTTCAGTTGTCTAATACTTCCGCCACATAAAACATCACAAAGTTGACAAATTAAAAGATGGGAAATCTTTTAGGTAACTTAAGATGTAATTTCTCTCTTGCTAAATTTGTTAATAGGTGCGGATTGTGCTGTGTGGAGAGTGACATCCATCTATACCATGAACGAATAAGAAAGACATAAGGCCTCGGAGAACATTCAACAAAAAGGCTGAGATTAAATTTGGCACAATTACAAAAGTTGCATGCTTCCACGTAACATGGACTTGGGAAGAAGTTCTCTCAAAAAAATATGGATAGAAAACATACCCAAAGCTTCACACAAGCATCAATGATAACTGGAACTAGGCAGATAAATATTGTTATAGCCGCCTGATCCACCTGAAGCCCATAATGCTCAACTAAAACCTCTAACAAAGTCTGCCAACCAGATTCAGAATGGTACCTACAAAGTATAAATTTATTATTACAAACTCAAAAACTATAACATCAAGGTGTAGAAATTGTTTAATTCCCAGAGTCAATTAAAAAGAGCATTGAAGTTCCAATAGAGGGGCTGATGACTTTAAAAAGAGCTACACTTCAATCCAGAGACTATAGCAATGCACTAAGCACAGTCCTTGTGTAATTCAAATTCTTGACGAATAAATATAGGCATAATAATATCTATCATATCGAAAATATAGGTTTCTAGAGCAGGCTCAATACATAAACAATTGAATAAATCCTGTACAAGCATTGATTGCTGATCTTTAGATATTAACCAATTAGTAAGTTTCCATATTTATTAATAAAATCAAATTTCGAAAAAATATGTATTATTTTTTTAATGAAAACAGACCAATTTCATAACTTAAGTTAGCGAGCTGATGACATAAAAAGTGGAATACAATCCGTACAAACTCTAGTACTAAAAACTGGTAAATTAAAAGATAAACATAATTGAATAATGAACATTACCCTAAAAAAATATCAGTCATAAGTATTATGAGAAATGCCTTCCCCGTGTCTGAAATGTTACTCAATATCTTATACCCTGTGAATTTCAGCAAAGCCACCTGTACAAGTAGGGATAAAACAAAAATGATTTTCAAAAGTAAACAAACGTCATTTATAGTAATACCATAAGCCAAATCATACATATTCAAGCAGAGGCCAAACATATGTAATTTCATATAATACCACAAGGAAGACATGGTACTGTAACAACTCCTACCAAAAAATACGTTGTTTGGAGCATATAAACGTCGTCCAAGATTATTAATAATAAATAGAACAATGCTACTTCCGCTTTTCTTCTGGTTCGAATAAATCTTTGCCACCCTTGAAAATGTGCGAAATGCATTAATCTTCATAACATTATGGTTTTATTCTCTGTTTATATGGACAAAACATTATCATAATATTTAAAATGATGATTGAAAAAGATCATTGAAATCTATGTTTAAATTAAAAAAGGTGGCCTAATTAGGTGTAAATCACAAATGGCAATTTTCACTAATTCTTTTTTTTTTTTTTTATTTGTTTTGTACATGTAATTTAAGTAAGCCTGATTCCTGCATACTAGGACAAACTGTTATCCACACGTGTTTCCTCTGATGGTGATGGAGTTGGCTGCGTGCACTACAATAGTCAAGATAGTTGAACTTATATGCATATGAGTGGAGATGTGTTTAGACGCAGGCCTCCTATGTAAAAAGAAGTTCGACTTTGGGGAGAATATAGCAACACTAAGGATATCATAGTTATAGCTTGAGAGTCTATACTTGCAGTACTTTTGGAATGACACGTTGTGTAAGCTTTTATGGTAAAAATGAAGAATACTAACAGTAGCATGAAAGTATACGTAGCCTCATCTATACGATTGAGGCCTCTGGTCAAGGGATCAATCAATCATATACATTTAATGCTAAAATCATTTTGTTGCCCAGAAGTCTAATACAAGATTTAGACGTAACCTAATTAGCTGAATAGGATAGTAGTAGCAGTAAATTGTCACATCAATCACTCAATAAGGATTGTACTGGATACTCTTCAACATTTTATTTTGCTTTTAAGTGAAGTTGTCTTAATAAAAAATTTCAAGTTAAAATAATTAATAAAAAAATATATAAAACCTACCCAAATACAAATACCCATCTCTCAATCTCTCTCTCTCTCAATTTACTATCTATGGATGATTTCGATGGGATTGTTCAAGATATACTTACAATGATTCATTTTTTTACCAACTTTAAAATTTATGTTTTTTTATCACATATTAACATAAAATTGATATGATCTACTAAATAATCAAATTAATTGAAAAAAAAAATCATAAAACTATTTCTAAAATTTTTAAATCAAATGCATTTTCTAGTTTTTTTATTCTAAGAAATAGTTTTTCAGAATGACAAACCAAGCGCGTTTTCTGCAATTTTAAAATAATCCCTCAAAACAGAAAATAGAAAATGAATTCGAAACTGAAAACAGAAGACAAAAACTCAAATGAAACGCACCCTTAACATTTTTGGTAACTGGTTAACAAGAAATTCACCACATGCAATTGTTATTCACGTTGTGTGAGTCCTTATGTAGAACATCAAAATTCCCAGGAGAATAAATTCTTGAATACACATGTATTCAATTGGGATTTTTAAAGACTTTTGGAGACTTTTTTAAGTGGGTGACTTTTGTGGACTTTGTGAAATTTTAAGTAATTTTTATAGATTTGGTAGGAATTAGTAAAAGTTTTTCCTGGATTTGTGGAGACTTTTACTAAAGACTTTTAAAGACTTTTGAGGATTTTTTTTTTTTTTTTTTTTTTGCTTTTCACAGTGTTAAATGTGAGAAATCGAGGAATATTTATGAGAATTCACAACATTCACTTAAAAACGAATCTTTGAAATTAGAGGAAGAGATAGAGATCAACTAGTGAAAATTTACCATAACCTGATTTGAAAAAAACTCATAGCAAAGATTCAAAGAAATACCTAATTGGAAGAGATAGAGGAAAAACCTAGAGGGAAATAAGAATAGCATACTCTTTTTAGAAATCTCTCTATGGATGAGAGATTTTGGGAGAAAAATCATATTTATATTTTCTATTAAAAAGTCTATGAAAGTCCAAGAAATTTTAAATTCCCTGAAAGTCCCTCTAAATTGAATACCTCAAAACTTGTAGAGACTTCTAAAAAGTTTCAATTGAATACCCCGTAACTTCTGGAGACTTTTTAAAAGTCTATAAAAATCTCTATTGAATACACCCAAACTTTTAGAGAGTCTCTAAAAATTTCAATTGAATACACCCAAACTTTTTAAATCTCTAAAAGTCTTTAAAAGTCTTGATTAAATACATCCCCCTAAAATTAGAGTGTCCAAGTAATCTACATGATTTCATTTAACTAGAATCCATTGAGGAAAAAGAAAAAGGATAGGAATTTCCCTGCTGGTAAATTAAATATACTTTCTTTTTTATGGTTTGACGAGATTAAGGAAAATATTTGTGCAAAATACTTAAGTTGCCCTCACTTACATTTTCATTTCTTCCTAGTTTTCATGCTTATCTAACAAATATGATATCCTTGATTTTCCTCTTCCTCCTATTCTCCAAGTTCTCAGAAAAGCCTATTCATTTTCCAACTAAAGGAAAGAAGTAATGCCATGGATTATCAAGAGGGAACACGGTCTCGTTTTAAATATCAATTGCATTCTCATCAAAGAAACTATTGGTTTAGTTATCAAATAAATGCTAAAGGGTACACGAGTTGTAAAACATGATCTTATTAACGATAACATCTCAAGCCTTATGGTAACACAATACATTAGTGCTTCCGTATAAGTATAGGATACCCAATTTAACATTCCAAGTCTCTCCTAATAAATAAACTAATCACCACGTCTACAAGTTTAATTGTTGTATACATATTTTACAAATCTACGTACAATAAGCAAGTAAATTTGCCCCTTGATTTAAGATTTCGAATTTGAAAAGCAGTGAAAAAATTTTAACTCCCAAAAATAGATAACTACAAAAATCAAATGAGTTCTCCAGGAGAATCTTTTACTCGATAACAACTATTTTAGGTCATTTTCAACCCAGAAGTATCAAGTTTTTTTTTTTTTTTTTTTTTTGGTCTCCCACCTTTGAAAGAAAGAGTTCTCAACTATGAAGAAAATATTTAAATAATTTAAAAACTTCGAATTCCTTACTTTGAGTATTACTTTTTTTAACCATTTTGCCTGATCATTAATTAATTGACCGTGGTAATTGTTCTAGTAATCTTGACAAACCAAAATGGAAATATAAAATATAGGCCGAATATCATGGTTCAGTTGTAGAAAAAAAAGGTTGAAAGAATTCAGAAAAAGGTTAAGGAATAGTCGTGACAACTCACTTTACTCTGGTTGAAGTACAAAAGAATGAACAATGAAACCCCAAACACCATATCTGACCAGATATTGGCAAATGCTTTGCGGTTTTCTAATCTCCATTCATCTCGTAGCTCTATCCTGCCAGAGAAACAACAAAGAGACAAACTTCATCTTTAAATCCTGTGTTATGCTAACATTATATAGATAATGCACTATTTGAGTTGTTTAAATATTTGGATGATGAACTGATATGGCAGTAATACAACAAATTTTTTTCACAATGCTAACAATTAGAATCTATTCTTCTTTATTCTTTGAAATGGAATCTATATTTCTTCTTTATTCTTTGAAATGGAATCTATAGTAAATGCTATCAAGGAGTCAAAGTGAATATACTATGCTCCAGTTACCTGATTTCATCCATAAATCAACTCAGAACTTGAATGAATAAACCCGATTATTACCCTTTTATGAACCGCTGATTATATTTAGTTCCATGAAGTTTTTTATTTTCCCATGACCAACTCAACACGGGTCTACATTTGGTAGAGTGAAGATTGTGAAAATTAAGCGAGTAATGGCACACGGAACATGAATCTGAAACCAGCAGGCATCTGTACTCGTTTGACACTTGAAACCCGTTTTGAGAACTGATAGTGCTTACACAGATAAAAGAATTTCTCAATGTTGTGAAAAGTTTGCTAGGTACTTCACAACTTTCATATAGTGATCTGTTACATATTCGACGCCAACTTTTTCTCCCATCAAAATTATAGGAATTATCACAACCTCAAATAATATTGTTGTAAACATAATATTGGGAAACTGTAAATCTTACGCTTTTTGTCTTAACTGCAAGTAAAGCTCCTCGTCAGCAAGAGGTGGAGATTTACCAATCTCTACTTCCAGCCTATAGCGTGCTTGCTCAAGTTTTATAGCCTTGACCATTTCAAGCTTTTGATTTTTTCTTACATCAAGCATCTGTGCTGCAAGGGGAACAGTCTTGACATACCTATTCAAGTGAACAAGTGTACTTATCATCAGTAGACAGCACTTATCAGAATAAATCTTGATCCACAGATCTACTTTAAATGTTTATATGTTACAATTTAAAAGCACAATGAATTTGATCTTTGGGCGCATACACCCATCACTCATAACCAAGTCCATATCGCTCATCATATAATAGGGAAGTTGATATCAAGAAATTGGAGTCTGGCCAAGCATAACACTCTTATCTCTTCCTTCTCTGAGCTGAGGTTGGCGTGCCTAAGGACATATTGGCTGAAAATAGATACTAATTTACGTGGAAGGTCTACTTAATTCTTTGCATAGGCTACTTGCTAATTGACCAATTATTGGAGTAGAAATCACAAATATACAGATATCCTCCGAAACCAAAGTTCTGGTCTGGAAGTGGATTATGGGAGTCTAAGCCAAAGTAATAGTGTTGGTGGACCATTTGTGCTGATGGGCAACACATATAGGGACTCCAAATTGTCAGTAGACTCGGAGCATGTTTGGTTGTGCTTGAAAATTACTTTTTTAAAGATAGTTTACATAAAAGTATTTTGTTAGTAAAAAAGTAACTGTGAAAACCACATTTCGTAAAATGAGCAACTTAAACGGAAGTTGACTTAATTTGAAGTACGACAAAACATGCTCTTAGTATAGATGGACTTAAAGTACTACTATTTCATAAACCGATATCTTATGTCATTCAATTGATATTTCGGCAAAAGTGAAAGCAACAATTCACCCTTCAAATGTAACAGACCTAGGATCTTTCTTAGATGCCCTTGATACAAAAACTATTCTTTATGTATACAGTGTAGGGTTATTGATAATGACTTCTATTTTTCAAAAAAACATTCCCACATCGGTAAAGCATAAATTATCAAAATAAAATCATTTCCACATTGATACAGAATAATTTAGATAAAGTATCTTATTGCTGTTCATCCAAAAAGAACGAAAAATGCATTGCATGTCAATTATCACCTGTCCAGAAACGGCATAAGAACATAATCGTGAACCAGAAAATCCAAAGCCAATGGAACGATAACCAGGATTGTCAAAAATTTAGCCTGAAATGAGATGGATTAAAACAGATTGAGCAGAAGAAAGAGAAAACATACAAATTTAGGTAGATGACTCATAATGCTTAAAAAAATATATAATAAATAAATAAATAAAATAAATGGCACGATAATTTAGGATGCTATACCTCTGGAGGCCGAAAGCTACAGAAATAGAAGGGGCTATTAATGTCTCAATGCACATTTTGCATTATTTTTCCTATAGAGCGTTGTGGTTGCATTCATGATTGAATCATCTCAAAGGTGAATTATAATTGGATATTTAAAGCTATAGAGAATATTATTCAGGTTTCCTTAAGGAGTCCTGAGCATCACAAAATGAGTTTTAACTCAATATTTATATAGGGTGATCTGTAGGAACTTTATATGTTTTCAAACTAATATTGAATTTACAATGGAACGGGCTCTCAAGACCAAAAAAGTACGTGGTCTCAAATTCAGGGGCAAATCTAGTAATCGAGTTCAGGTAGGGCAGATCATGAACGTTGAAAGCTTACTTCGACGGCCAACGTCGATAATAGCGAAGTTGTTTATTAATATTTAATTAAATAATATTCAAAAAATCGTACGGATTAAAACTAGAAGAACTAAATACATCACTAAAACTAGAACTAAGTACGAACTTTCATTTTGGATGAAAAAAATCGTTCCATAATCTGCAAAATCCCTAATTTACTTTTCAATTAAATAGGTAATATAAATTAACAAAATGCCAATATTCAGTTTACAATTAAAGTTAATTAAACAAGAATTATTATATTAACAAAATTAAAATTATTTATAACTTGTATGATTCCACTTTCTCGCAATCGATTTTTTGTGAACGAAAAATGGAATCTTTTATTAATTATATAAGTTTTGTTGAAAGATTCCTTATGACACTAAGACCAATTTTCCTATAAATTCATCCACCATTAATTGACCAAACTCTCAAATCAATTGATTAGAGGGAAAGAAAAGAAAAAGAAAATTAAGAAAAGGGACAAAGCACCGGTTAAAATATTTCTACTTGCATTAAACCAATAAAATTGAACATATGATATTTTGTTACATTATGTGCTAAAAATCAATAAGTGTCATGATGGTAAAGTGGTTAATACGTTTAAGAAAGTTACCAGGTTCGAATAACCTTCCTTGCATTTGTTTTGGTAAAAATTATTGAAATACAAAAATTATAAAAAATAATGCTGTTGAAGAGTTTCGAACATAGGATCTCCAATTTAATAATGGAAGGACTAACCGCTAAGCTAAATGAGATGTTTGGTGTTAATATGAATTATCACATATATTGAGATGTTTGGTGTTAATATGAATTATCACATATATAATCTAAAAATTCTATCTATTATCAACCAAAAAAAAAAAAAAAAAATTCTCCCCGACGAATCCAGCTAGGGTGGCCGGCTTCTAAATTCGCCACTGGTCTCAATAAATTATAGGCTACAATGAATTCATAGCCCAGGGCTCGCCGGCCTCTAAATCCGCCACTGGTCTCAATAAGTTATAGGCTACAATGAACTCACAGTCCACCCAATAAGAGAGAGTGCATGAGTAGATGGAACTATTATGACAAAAGCAAATTGACAAATCTCCATTCATCATGCCACCATGAGAAAATGAGATAAAAGAGTTTCTTGACCACTTGAGGCCCTTCAAACAATCATCTAGATTACACCCCTATCTAATGCCAATCTTATTTCTCAAAGAGAAGGGTGTAGCTAAACATTCAAGTTTGGGAAGTGTTTATAAATGGTTTGTATTATAAATAGGAAGAAATAAGTGATGCATAAGTGAGTAGTACATATAGGTCCCTTCAAATGTGTGGATAAAAAGTGACTTGAGTGTTGTAAACATAATCCAAACATAGGGTGTCATTCATGCTATTATCCCATGTAGTGAAGTAGTTTGTAACAACCCCATTAACTACATTAATTATTTCTCTCATTTTTATAGTAGTATTTTTTAATAATCTTGTTGAACCTGACTTAATTCTAGGAGGGTTCAATTAAACATATTGAAATAAGCTTCAGGAAATGTATTGTAACCTTAAAGCTACCCAAGAATAATACTAACACTTCTCCGACAGTTTAATAAATTAGGCAGTACAGAAATTAGTGAATGAAGAAGATAATACTTCGCAAAAAGTAGCCACGCTGCTTATCGGTATATGAATTGGAATACCGCCTAATGATTGAGAGGTGTTCCCAATCTCTTCTTCTTTCTTAAATTTCTTCAGAATTGTACACTTTGGTGAGGTTTTGGAAGATTCTCAAAATTCATTTTAATTGTTCATACCATTCCTCTACTTCATGTATATCAATAAAGCTCAACACATAGACTCCCTAGTAACCAAATATATTGAGTATATGGGAAGAAAATTCATTTTCTGTATTCATTTTTCCAAAGTACCCACAGCATACTTCTATAGATAGGATGATGGATTTCTTTTGCTACCTTGAGATAGAATTTAAGTGTATACCTGCAGGGTTCAACTCTTCTTAGTGGAAGTTTATTGAAAAAAAAAACGCATTTGTGCCAATCCAACAACTATTTAGATCCAAACACACCTCTTTCCGAGCTAAATATAGACCCAATAACTATTTGATTCAAAATATGGAATTACTCTTTTAATCATATATACAGGTCAAAATAAAATGCTTGCTTTATCTCTTCTTTTGTTCATAATGCTTCAAATTTCTTAGTGTAAGATGACCTATTTTTACATCTAGTATACTTACCACATTGAAGACATTGTATCAGTGCACAAAAGGTAAAACCCTTAATTTAGAAGTTGAAACCAAATTTGAGATTGATAATGTGGAACCATAGCATGAAAAAATTTAGATTTAATGCTTGAAAGTAAAATGAACTATAGCACAAGTGCCATAAAATTAGATTTTGTTTATATAATCATCATATGGAATCACTCACCGAATTGAATGAAGCATAACGAAAGACACGATCTTCATACAGAATGTCATCATCTTCTCTGCCTAGAACCAAATCCCTTACTGACTTAATCAATCCTCTTTCAGAAATTAGCTCACTAAAATCTTCTCCTACATCATCTAAAGGTTTTCTAACTGCGCCATTCGAGTCTTGAACCCATGATGCACCATTCTCAGCATCATCAGTGGTTCCTTCCACAAGCCAGTCCTCCCACCTCCTATTCTCCTCATTCTTTGCATCCTCTTGTGCTTCCCTTAACTCTACAATAGCCTCAGCTCGCCTTTTCCATGCCTCAAACTTTTCGTTCTCAGATAATTCATCATCACTCGAGCCCTCCTCTGACTCTACACCATCAAGCATATCATCGTCCTTCAAACCAAGCCAGTTCCCATCATCCTCAAGAAAGAATCTCTGCCACCAACTTATCCTCTTTGAATGCCTTCTCTTGGCATTTGGAATCAGCCCACAAGATTTTCTCCTCCCACGACCAAATTGAAGCACAGAACTCGGTGAACTATGAGAATAAAATGAATTTTGTGAACTACTACCCCTCTTGGAAAAGACTAAATTTTGACAAAAGACCATTGAAGTGCTCATCAATAACATGTATGAAATTCCACATTTTTCAGCCTCATGAAGCAAAAAAATCACAATCTTGCTTAACAAAATTCACCCAAGATGCAAAAGAAACAATGGAATTAATCATCATAATCTGCCCACAAATGCATTATTAAAATCTCTCATCCACAAAATATTGTCTGTGCATATTTCTAGCCCTGAAAAGAAAATGAAATTGACAAAATGCTGAAATCTGGAGCCGTGAAAAATGGGAAAGAAGAGAAATACAAGTACAAAGAGGCGAAAAAGTACAAAAACGTTTCGGGTTTATCTGCTGGTGATGAAAGGAGCCAAGCGGGAGAGGATAACGGTTTTGCTCATAAACCGGTTTTCTACTGATTGCGGATAAATTTCATCTGCGGTCACGGAACTTTAATTGAAGTTTCAATTGGATTTATAAATGTCCACTTAGTGATCATATAGCAACAAATGTTCCACGTAGTCACCTATGAAATATCAACTTACCAATATGCCATGCTATAAAAGAGAAATAATAAAAAACGCGTCATTAAACATTTTAAATCTAAATATACTAAAGCATTTTTATCCGCTTGATAAATTTAAAATTTCTAAGGCTTAGGGTCTGTTAGGGAGTTTTTTATCGATTTTGAGTGACATCGTTTATGAACAATAAAGATGGTTTAAAAATCACAAAAATAGCATTGTGCAATTTTGACCACTTTTCTCAACCCACCAAATTGGTGGATTCTGACCATTCTTTTATTCTCTTCTAGCCCCGTATGAGCTACATTATTGTAAAAATGACAATGAAAAATATAATTGTTATGAGCCTACACAAGAGATAAAACGTTAAATATGATGACTTAATATGATGAATAACGATTATATTTTTTAATTTGATAAGGAAATAATGAGACTCAAATAGGGTTAATTTCACCATTTATAAGATATTATTTTCAATCAACATATTTTGTTAAAACTAACTTTTAAATAAAAAGTATATTAACTAAAAAATAAGCAGAATGATTTGAAAGAGAATCAAGTGTTGTCATTCGGGCACTCTTGGGACACTTTGTGGTCCAATTTATAAGCAAAAAAATTACTTATAACATAAAAGTTGAATTTTGTGAAAATTTTATTTATAAAGTAAAAATATTACCATTAAGACAAAAAATTACTTATAAAATATAAAAAGTTATAAGTAAAAATTTCATTTATGTACAAAAATATTTAAAGTACAAAATTGAAATATAATTTTCAATTTACTTATAAGTTAAAATAATAACTTAAAATTTATATGTACAAAATAAGTAAAATATCACTTACGAGTAAAAATTTCATACAAAAAATTATAAACCAAAAAATTCACTAAGGGGATTATATGTAACTTTAGTCCTTTAAAAAACTTTCAGAATTGATAGAAAATAAATTCTCAAACATGGATTGGATTATTTTAAAATTGTCATTAAAATCACTCAAGATCGATCAGCTCATAAACAATTAAAATTAATTATTTTAAAAATGCTCATAAACTGTACCCAAAAGTCTCAAGTAAAAATTTGATTTTTCTCCAGCAAACAACTAGCTAGGGAAAGATTTATTTGCAACGAATTGGGTTTGAAGATTGTCATAATTCTCATTTTACAACTTTTGTTTTTACGGTATCACGTAGTGATAAAATAGAAGATTAGTTACAATATTTGATGTCAATTTAGCAATTTTCATCAATTTTAGAAATGATAGGTGAAAGTGACCAAATGGTGAAAAATTATTCAATTAAGACAAATCAAAGTTCAATGATCTAATTGAGAATTCACTAAACGTATAGTGATTGAGGATGAAATTTGCCCATATTTGTTTATTTATCATCTCATATTATCTTTAGGGGTGATGTCTTTGTTTTCCTTTTACTTTTTATGTAGATAACATTAATAAAATTATAGTACAACCTCAACAATTTAAAATTTAATATATTAATAGATCGGTTAAAATAATATTTTTGCTTAATCTTGACTTGAAAATAATATGCTAAATCAATAGTTCATTAAATTTATAAGATAATACATTATAAAAATCATATAGATTCTACATTAATAATTTCATGATATACAACATTGATAATTCAACTATGAGGCCTTCTAAAATTATAAATTAATAATTAGTTGTTTCTCCTTGAAATTGATGTCATCTTGAATCTCATTCTTTAACTTCATTTAACGTGGTAAGAAGCTCTGGTGTGGTCTTCTCATACAACAACAAATATTTCAAATTATTTTATCCGTCATTGTTGATTTCTTTATACCTTCGATATGAGAATCAATCGTTGGATATATTAGGTTTTTAACCCAAATTAGATCGAATTTTTGGGGAATATATTTTTCCTTTATTTCACGTACTTTTATTTGGAAAAATATTATTTCTTTTATTTTACGTGATTCCTATCTCGTTTCCATCTTTGTGGTATTTTTGGGGTTTGACATGCCCTATAAATACTAGACTCTTTTCATAAATTTTGTATTACTGATATATAGAATAATTATGTAGGCACAGTTATTGTATATATTTTCTCCATATTCATAATTGAATAAAATACTACGTTCATTTGCCAATTAATTCTTTATCTTTTATCTTATTGTTTGTTTGTGATCATATGCTTTATATTGTGTCATATATATTACTTTTGTTCACTTTATTTTCCAATAAATGGTATCAAAGCTATTGATTATAATTTGTTCGAGGTTTTTGTTATTGATGACAACTATGAAGTATGAAATTTTACTCTTAGATCGCAATATAAGATGTTGTGGTAAGTGAAGATGCGAGCTGTACTCGCGCAGATGAATTTAAATGATGCGTTGTTGGGATTTGAAAAAACGACCACAACTTGGACGGCGAAAGAGAAACAAAGAAATGATAGGAAGACACGTTCATAGATCCATCTTTATCTCAATAACAATATTCTCCAAGACGTTTTGAAGGAGAAAACAACGGCTACATTGTGATTGAAGTTGGAATAATTGTGCATGACTAAAAGTCTAACAAACAATTTGTATCTGAAGTAGAGATTGTATTCTCATTGAATGGAAGACGGATCTTTCGAAGATCATTTGGCCGTGTTTAAGGAGATTGTCATTAATCTGGAGACTTTAAAGATAAAATATGATGATGAAGATTTTACTTTAATTCTTTTGTGTTTGTTGTCTGCTTCGTTCATTTAGAGACACGATCTTGTATAGTCTTGATACGCTCATCATTGAAAATACGTATGATACATTATTTTCGAAAGAGAAGATGAAACATCTATTGGATCCGAGATCACGGATGGAGAAGGCCTTGTTGGTCATGGTGATCGTAGAAGGGGTAAGTCGAGGTCAACTTTCAATAATTAGGTTTGTTATTATTGCAAGAATAAATGACATATTAAGAAGGATTACAACAAATTATAGAACAAAGGTAATTTGACAACAAATCATGGAAAGCAATCAACTACTTCAAACGAGACCAACATAGCTAAGAACTATTGAGTGATGGAGATGTTTTGATGATTTCTGACTTGAAATCCAAACTTGACAATGATTGGATTTTGGATACAGCTTTTACGCTCCACATGTGTCCTAATCGGGATTTGTTTGAAACATTTGAAACGCTGACGCAATGTGTTGTTGTCATATGTAAAAACGAACCTTGTCCGGTAGCTAGTATTGGTAGTTCAGATTGAAGCTGGTTGATGGAACATGTAGAACACTTGATCACGCTTGACATATTCTAAACTTAAAGAGAATCTGATTTCATTGAGTACTTTTGATTCAAAATGGCACACGTTCTCTGGATGAGATGGGGTTTTGAAGGTTTAGAAGGGTGTTCATGTTGTATTAGAGGAGTGGAAGAGGTCCCAATTATATATCTTGCACGGTCGGCGGAATTTGAAAAGAAAAGTCAACACAGATTTAGTACTGTGGTGGAAATTCAGTTTAATACTGTACTTTTGGAATTTGGTTCGAGGTCCATGTTGAAGAATACTACTCACTCGAGTTTGGAGAATGTGAGTAATTTTGCTTTGCCGCCATACCTGGGGTTCTATCGTATTTAACTGCTAAGGATAGACCTATTGGAGATAGATACTTGGATGATTCGATTGTACATGTTTTTGACATTTTTGAAAGTGTTGAGATTAGCCAGAGACTTTCTATGAAAGCACAGGGAGTTGATTCTGCTACAGGATGTGCTTCGACACTATTTGATAATTTTAATTCTTTGTAAATTTTGGGAAACTCGATGTGTGGGTTCATGTATCTGTGTTCGATACCGTGGAAGCGGAAGAATATTTTTGTATTGGAGAAAATTTGGTTTTTGTTAAAGAGTTCAAATTTTTCATTGCATTCGAATTTATTTTTTTAGATGGAGAATCTTGGAGCTTGTTTCGTTGCATTGAAATTTATGTCAAGGTGGAGATTGTTGGATTTTTGACCTAAATTAGATTGGATCTTTTAGGAAAAATATTTTTCCTTTATTCCATGTGGTTTATATTTATTTCTATTTTTTGTGCTATTTTTAGGGTTTAGCATATTCCCTTATAAATACTAGACTCTTTTCACAATTTTTATATTACTGAAATATAGAGTAATTGTGTAAGTACAGTTATTGTATTTGTTTTCTACATATTTGTTAATTAAATAAAATACTCCGTTTCTCAGTCAATTAATTCTTTACCTTTTATCTTTTTGTTTGTTTGTGATTACTTTATATCGCGTCATATTTATTATCTCTATCTATTTTATTTCCCAACATATATATGATATGTTACTATTTCTTTTGTTTCTCTAAAAATAGTTTAAATGTTTATAAAATGTACCCTCGAAAAAAATAGTATATTCATGAATTTTACTCAATGCATAGACTTGTTAGTTCGAAAAACAAAGAACCAATATAAAATATTTACGCAAATATGCAATACCTCGATAAATTAAGAAGTTATAGTTAATCAATAAATTAAATAAATTATTAGTTTATCGATTATTTAATATTCACAAAAATTGATAGATTTTTGTTGCTCTCAATGCTACTAATTCATAGAAATTTAATTTTACTAAATACGATACCAATAAAATAATTGATAAGATAAAAGAGATTCTCGAGCTAGTGAAGCATTTTGTGGAAATAAAACTAGGTAAAATTTAATTTAAACTGGAGACTTCATATATTCAAATCTTATTAAATATACTTTAAAAAAATAGTTTGTTTTATAAATATTCAATAATTAGATATCAAATATAAATAATTAAATGTAGATTAATAAAATTAACTCATAAATTTGAATCATTGGGAGCTGATAGTGGAGATGAGATTGTATCCACACCCATGCTTTTCCCGTCTAAAATTTGACTCCATGAGGAAGTTTTGGGGTTGGTTGTC